CACAGATCTCATCACCTGAAGGACTGTGTTTTTCCTACTTCTTTACAATCTTTCTCAAATATGGGCTGAAATAGCTGTTGTTCCAAGGGAAACAGTGGACTGAGTCAGTACCACACCTTGCCCTGGCCTGTGGCTCAGGCAATCTGAATGTGCTTTTTTTTTTTCATACAAAAAGCATCTTGTTCAGAGAGAATAAAGTGGGTAGTGGCCCATGGCCACTGCAGGAGCCAGCGGGCAAGGATGGATTTGAGACTACTTGGAGATCTCAGCAAGTGGAAACTTAAGGGCTCATGAATTAGTTGTTTCTTTTTCGACCAGAGCTACACAATACTCAGCATTCAACTAGTTTTAACCACATGGATCACTGACTTAAGTGCTGGGTTTTCTGCAGGCATCTGACATCATGACACTACTCGGTTGAAATCCCAATTCACAGAGAGAGGGATGTGAGGATGAGGAAGGAGAAGAACACTGAGAAATCAGGTCAGAGTAAGAGGTGGGATCCAGGACCTGAAGAGCCTGAGGTTGCATTTTAAAGAACGCCATCTTGAACGCCATTTTGTCGATAACAGGACACATTGCAACATTCTCAGTCCAGGTACAATGAGGACAGAATTGCTGTCTTGCAGGATCACTGAGGTTGCATCAGGAAGAGAAGTGGGAAGGATCAGAGACCAGTTAGGAATAGCTTGGCCTGATGGGTAATCGTGGCCAATAGTGCCCTCCAAGCTTGAGACCTGCTACTTTAAGTAACTGTTTCAGGGCATGGCCTCAGGAGGCATGGCAGTCGGCACTGCCTCTTTATGTACTGGGAGACATGCTTGTGATCAGATTTGAGACTCGGACTTCAGAGAGACAAGTTTGGATGATGGGTGTAAATGTTACAAGAAAAACTGGCATGGGGAAGAGAGGAAAAGAGGAGTGGAGAGGGATAAAGAATAGAAATTATGTTACCCAGATGAGAAGGCTCAAGAGGTCACTTGAAAACTTGTTTTGTAAGAACTGCTTTAAGAATAGTGCCAGAAGTTTCAAGCTGTGTAACTTCTTTAGTGATTATGTTTATCTTGAGATGCATTGTAAAGAGCTTAGATATTAAATAAACAAACCATCTCATAGCTAGTTCATGCACATATATCACGCCAAAGAGGTAAAGGGTTATCGAACCTCAGGAAGCAAGCTGGTCAGCAATTTCATTTGACACTGTGTCTGGAGCAGGAGCCAACCCTAACCTTACTTCTCAAGAGGACTTCAGATTTTCTGGGGGCTGGGGGCGTGGAGGAGATTAGGGCTAGAAGCCAGTTTACCCAGTCCCTGTCTGGAGCACGTGGGCAGATGTGAAAGTGGGGGTGATGTTCAGACCACACATTGGTTTCCTTGTGAAAACGCCAATGCAAATTTGTAACTATGGCAACAAAACAGCACTATTAAAACACAAAGTCTCTATGCCATTGCACTTAATTCACACACCCCTCCCCACCTCCAAACAAACCAAACAAACATGAATCCTCTGGTTTCTTGCTAATAAGTAAAGTTAGCATTATTCTTGTTTATCCATTTCATGGGGAAGATTTTGTTAAAAGATTTCAATTCCTCTATGACCCTTCCTAGTGCAAAGGAAATCATTTCAGAAATGTAATCTGGATTTGAAGATGACAACTCCTTATGACTCTAGAAGGAGGGAGATTTAGAGACAACCCAAATAAGAAATGAAGAAACGGCTTTAGAGCTTTCTTATTTGGGCACAAAATGAGAGATGGGGGCCAATGGTAGAACTTCTAGAGGACATAGAGATCGGGGCTGGGATTGAGGAGGAGGTGGTGGTCATGGAGCGATCAGGTCAGATCTTGTCTTTAATCATATGTTTTTATATTTTGTTACTTAACGGATTTTGTTCCACTCATTTGATTTTTTTTAAAAAATTCATTTTCTTAATATATTTTCTGTGCCCTTTAAAACTGATATCTGATGTTTCACTTTGCCTCAGTTCCTGCCTTGTTAAGGACAAATATTTACAAATAAGGAAAAGATATATAGTATACATTAGAAATTCTGATTGCACTTTGAGTTCTACTTGAGGGAATGTTCTCCATGCTTACAGACCCCAGCACCACCTCATGGCCAGGGACATTCCTCTGAGCAAGGCAAAACAACGTCATGCTCTCTTCCTCTGAGAGCTTTGAAGAGTTCCTGGTTGTAGACAATTTGGTTATACACCTTAGTAAAAATGTCTTATTTTTCCTATGCTTCAGCTTGAGTGAGTTTTTTTGGATCTGTGGATTTATAACTTTCACCAAATTAAGAAAATAATCTAAGCTATTTATTGAAATATTTTTATGTTCCCACCTCTCCCATTTCCCCTCAAGATTTTTGTTTCTCCAGTTGCACGTGTATTGGACCACTTGAAGATCTTAGATGCTCCATCTGTCTGTTTTTTCCAAATTCAGTTTCATTAGAGATAGGTTATATTGCTGTGCCTTCCAGCTCACTAATTCTACTTTTTTTTTTTTTAGCTCTAACTCACTGTTTACCCTAAATTTCAGGCACTTAATCAAATGAAGTTCTAATTAGGTCATTTTAAATATATTTCATTAACGTGTTTAATTTTCCCTTCACCTTCTTGAACACGTGGAATATGATACTAACTGCCCTTGTCTACCAATTCTAACATCCCTGTTACTTGCGGTTAATGTTTTGTTATATTTTCTTGCTTCTTTAGATACTTAGTAATCTTGGATTAGATACCAGATATTGTAAATTCTTCTTGTTGTCTGGTGGTTATTTTCATATTCCCATAAATATTTTTAGTGTTGGTTCTAGTAGGCAGTGTTCTGGAAACAGATTCTTTTGGGCTTCATATTAAAGCTCTGTGAATTAAAATTACATCAGTGTTTACTTTAGGGTTAATTTTTCCCCCCTCACTCCAGATTCTATACCCAATGAGCTATGAACTAAGAGGTTTTTTCCGCTCTGGCTGATGGGAACACAAGCCATTTCCCATCTATGCGAGCCTAATCCTATATTAACCTCAGGTGATTTTCTTCCCTCTCGATCCTGTTCAGACACTGGCTGAACAGTTAACTAGACTCCACACTTCTCAGCGGTCTGTGCAGCTCTGTCCACTCTGATAGTCTGTCCTGAGAACTCTGTCTTGGTGTCCTGTAATTCCAGTTGCGGCTCCTTAACTCCAGGAGACCTCCCCTCTGTGTCTTGGAAGAAACGGTTCAGGCAGAAGGCTGGGACAATCGGGGAGCTCAGGTCTTTTGTTTCCAGGAGAACCAGCTAGGTCTTTGTCAAGCCTCTTTGCTTGAAGTGAAAATCTGCAGCTTTATGGTTTTTGAATGTGGTTGATGAATAATATTTTTGGCAAACAGTAAATTACATCTGGACAGACCAATTAAAGCTTTCTGAATATTTTAAGATGCCCTCATAAAATTTACATCATTTTCAAGTGTTGAAGCATAATTCTCATAATCTTACACTCACACTTTTTACATAAATACTTGGGGAGCAAGTGAAAGTTTTGTTTCTCATTAATGAGGTAACTGGAAGGATGCTAAAGTTAGTTATCAAAGTGAGACAAAAGAAAGCAAATGACCTATTAGAAGGAGGAATAGAGGGAGGAAAAGGGAGAAAGGGAGAGGAGAAAAAGAAGGGGGAGAGGAAGAGAGAGGGGGGAGTGCATACTGGAATAAATATTCTAATTTAAAAATAAAACTGGCTAGCGTTCCAGAGGGCAGTGAAAGTCATATGACCTCTGGGTATATCTTCTTCAATGAACAAAGATAATTTTTATCTTTTCACGCAAAATTTACTTGTACCATATCACATTCATTTTCTGCAAGTTAACATCGAAACCTTTATGGATCGAAATATATCTGATGTTTAAATTGATGGTGTTAAGTAAAATAGTAGTCATTTTCTCCTCTGGTTGGATGGCCCAGTGTTTTCCGGAGGCACTGAGTAGCTGCCACAAGTCATCTTTTGATTTATTGTCAAGTTTTGGAAAACTTACCTGGGAACTCCCTGTAAATCACTGAGATCTGCAATCACCCAGTTACCTGCATCTGAATTTGCTCATTTAATGAAAAGATTGTGCTAACTGTGGTCTTTGTATGTTAGAATCACCTGGGGGGGGGGGGGGCGGGTGGTGGTGGTGCTTTTCAAAACTAGGAAAGCCAAGACCTGTTACCAAACCAACTAAATTAGACTCTTTGAGGGTGCAGCCTGGGCATCATTAGCTCTTTAAAAAGGCCCATAGTTATTCTAATGTTCAGTTAGGGCTGAAAGCCACTGGTCTAGACAGGGTTTGCTCAGACCCCTTTCAATAATAACGCCCTGTGACTCTCCAGCTCGGAACACAGGCAAATCACTCTTGCACTGAAGACAGTAGACATAAATACAGGCTCTGCTGACTGCAGAGCATTCCCAGTGACTTGAAAATGATTCAGGGCTGCCAGCATTCATCCCATGGCGTGGAAACTGCAGGAAAGGCCAGGGGTGGGAGAGCTGAATGACTGGCCTTTGTGTTCCAATTATAGTCAGCTCGAGTTGTTAGAAAGAGATAGGAATGTCTGCTGTCAATTTCTCTTAGAAAAAGATAGATCGGAATTCATTTTGGGCCCCTGCCTCTAGCCTGCTGAGCTTGGCCCTGCCCCCAGAGTGAAAGTCCTTTCACTTAGTTATTATTGGAGATTGCATTTCTGATTCCAGACTGGACATTAATAAATTCAGGCCATGGCTACTAATATTCACCAAAAAGAAAATACTGCAGCAAGTACAAGCCTTTGAAATGGCCTCAGACAATGGAGCTCTATTTCAAACTCCATCCCTTCATGCTTGTTATCGCTGAAAAGCATTTTTTGTAGCCTTTATTAAAAATGGAAAAAAATCATTTTTTGAGAGTATGGGCTTTTGAAGCTTCTCTTGTTACTATGTCTATGAAGAACATGCAGAAAACGTAACAAGCTGAGGAAGGCAGACATTAAGGAAAGTAAACCTGATATGTTTAAAACATTTTTTGTATGTCTTTTAAATATAAGAGGTTTTTAAATCGAAAAATCAGTGTTGATTTATTTTCAAACGGCTTTAGGGATCTTTCTTAATTGTATGACTTCTCTGTTGTGTTACCATAGTGAGTAATACTAATAAAAGTCCAAGTGACTTTTATTAGTATTAAACCCTTCACCTGGTTCTTGATTATTATGTCGTATTCGTTAGATTTTCTTTTTTAATTCATCCATGTCTTCCCTGATACTGTTTATGATAATAAGCTTTCCCCCCCTTATAATGAAACGTCCCTGTGAGTTAGGTAGGGACAATATTAACTTGTCCAGCCATTTGAAAGATGAGAAAACCGTGACTCTGAGATAGCAAGTGACCTATTACCCCCCAAAAAATGGCAAGCAGAAGACAAGAGTAATATGTACATATTGAGCTCCTGATGTCTGGGGTCCCCTCCCCATTTACTCGGTTTTTCTTTATAACATGTGTTTTCCATTAAGAAGTTATCTCAATCATTAATTCTTTCAGATAACCTCACAATATTTCACATAAACGAAGAATAATGTTTCAAAACTAGGACTTTCTAGTTCAGTTACGTCATCTATCAATGCTACTTGCGATCCTAAGTTCACTGCTCCCTTTTAAATTTTTGCACATGACCATTCTTTTAACTATTATTACACACACGATCATGGGACCTGGGAGGAAATGAGAAGCCAGGAGGTTGGGTAGACAGCTGAACCACTTCGCAGAGCTAGAGCCGGTGAGTAGCCCTGAGGGTGGGGCCTGGCTAGACCGAATTTAGGGAGGCCTGGACATTTAGTTAGAATTTCCAGGTGTGAAATCTACAAGGTGGTTGAGGATATAGTTCTGGAACTCCGCAGAGGAACTGGGCTGAGCGTGAACAGTTGGTAGTGATTGGCTTGGAGGTGCTGTTAGCTGAGTCTTGGGGACGGATGAGGTCATCCAGGGAGAGAATGGAGAGCTAAAAGAAAGGAACAAGAAATGACTGTGGACAGAGAAACAGCTTAGGAGGAAGTCAGGGAGCAAGGAGAAAAGCATGGGAAGGTTGTTAATATTCTGATCCATCCTTTGAAATCCTGCCCCTTGGTGCCGCCCTGCATGTAAAAGAAAAACTCCACCCCTTCTCTCTCTTCTGCTTCCCTCCCATGAGGTGTGTACCCTCAAACCCCCCCTCTTCCTCTCTCTTCTCTCCCTCTCCTTTCTGCCTTTTCCTATCTTTCTCATTATCCCTCATTATAATAAACCATTTCCACGAGGATGCAGCCTCTGGGTGGTGAATGTCCACCCGCTGCCCTGCCACCATGCCCGCATGGAGTGGGTCACCAGTCAGTCTGCCGCTGCATCTGCCCAGAATGCCAGCAGGTATCCCTGCATACACAAGATACCCTGGGGAGGTGGGATGGGGGTGGGTGGGGGGTGGGGACACCGGACGGGACACACGTAATAATCATAACAAAGGTGACTCCGTTTATAGCCCTAACCTTGTCTTGCCCCAGGCTACCCCATCCCAGTGACCGCACCAGCTACCAGCTGCTCTGTAAGCAAACAGCTGTCTCTCTGATTACTTCCTCCTTCCTCCCATCAATAAGTCTTCTTATCAGTTCCTGAGGATCCTTGAATTTGTTCACGCCTCTTTCTCTTTCCATTGGTACCTTCCACCTGCCCTCTGACCTATTAGCCTGCCTTTCCTGCCTGGACACTGGCAACCGGCTCCTCAGTGGTCTCCCCGCCTCTTATCCCGCCTCCTCACTTGCTTGGACCATTGCCACTGGGGAGAGTACTCATAAAAGTACAAGGAAGATCCTACAATTTCTCTGTTTGACCCCTAAATTGCTCCTGTGGCATAGCATATGATTTCTGCCAGGCTCTTAAACCTCGCTCTGGACCGTTCCCTCTCACACTCCCTAAACCCAGCTGCAGTGACCTCGCTATTTTTGAATATACCCAATTCTTCCCACGGCCCTGGCCCTTGTCTTTGCTAGTCTTCTATGGAAAGCAATCTTCCCCAGGCTTGCTCAGGGCTGGCTCTTGTTTTTCAGTGAGGCCTCACCTGAAATGTTGCCTCCACAGGGGGGCCTTCCCTAGCCACCCCATCAAATTAGCAGTCACGCAGTGACTAAGAGTCTGACAGTGAGGAGAAATCTGAGGCCAAGGTTTATTTCCCTCTGAAGGCTGTGTGCAAGAATCTGCTGCTGTCTTTGGCTTCCACACTGGCTGGCTTCTTCTTCCCTTATCCTGCCTGACCCATGAGCTTCCCTTTGTGAGTGCCTCTGTCCAAATGCTCCACCCCTTTATAAAGCTAGGGCTCATGCTGGAGTAAGGCTCACGTTGATGGTTTCCCTTTAACTTGATGACTTCTATAACAAGGCTTTGCACCCCAGAATGTCAACAAGTCGGGGAGGGGGCACAACTCTACCCACAAAGGCACAGCCGAGGACCATCCTATCACACGGTTGCATTTTCTTCACAGCATTTGACCCTGTCTGAAATTGTATTGCTTACCTTTTATTATCCACCACTGAAATCTCCATGGGGGAGGTGGGGAAAGCCTTGCCAGCGGTCCTGACTTATCCCGTTACCATAGCTACCGCGGGCACCTCGCTGCAAGCTTCTGCAGCTTTCTCTTGGAGGTTTCCCCTAGCATGCTTGCTGTTACGTGAGTCAGGAGGGGGATGCTGGGAAAGGTCATGACAGGTGAGCCTTGGTAGAGGAATCTCCCATCTTCCTCACCTATTGGAGGCAGCTGAGGTTATTTTTGGCCATCGCCGAGCTGTTGTTATAGGACTGAGCCGAGTTACCCATAGCGTTCACCAATGTACCTGTGTTGGCTTCCCTTTCCCACCTGGCCCTCCTTGAATTCCATACTAGAGTCTCCATGTCTCCAGTCAACGACTTACACGCCATCGTGTCCCTGGGAGAACCCACTGTACGAAGGTCTTTATCATCTTGTATCCCGACCCTTAAAAGCCCATAATACAAAATGTATGGTAAATGTTCAATATATAATAATGGATGAATGAACAGAGGTCATGCCTGACACTATCAAATGATGCACAAAGGTTTCTGGTAAAAGATACTTTTAAATAAGAGCAATGTGGCAATTAGGGAGTCACTGATGGAAGGGGTGAAAGTCTAGTTTGGGTGGATGGTCAGAGTTGGATAATAGGCAGCCGGGGCAGGAGAATTAGCTTTAATTAGGTGGCAGGGTAGGAGAATGATTTGACTTTTTTTTTTTTTTTAATGAGAAGTGTTTCTGTATATTTGATGCTGACTTAATGGCAAAGGAAAGGAGGAAGGTAAATGGGGGGGGGGGGCTATCGATCAGCCTTAGATGGCAAATTACTGTCTGAGTTAGAAATACAGATGGAGGGCTGGATGGTGGTGGCACACGCCTTCATTCCCAGCACTTGGAAGGCAGAGGCAGGTGAATCTTTACATAGTGAATTCCAGGACAGCCAGGGCTACACAGAGAAATCCTGTTGACAAAAAAAAAAAAAAAAAAAAACAAAACCAGAAAGAAAAAAAGAAAAGGAGAGAAAGGAAGAAAGGAAGAAATATAGATGGAGGATTTAGTCAGGACAGGAGAGAAAGAGAGAAGAGAGACCTTTGTCTTCTAAGAAAGGAAGACAGAAAGTAAGACCCAATGTAAGGGAACACAAGTGTATACATATACAAAGACAACACTTGTTAACATTTCACAGACTATTTAGAATATATATATATATACACATATATATATATATATATACATATATATATGGAAATGTACAAAATAACTAACACTTACTGGACATATGCAATATTTTAGGCTCCAGTCTATGCACTTTCACACATTAACCCATTCACTCTTCAAACTGCCATGTGAAGTGGGCATCGATGCTGTCTTTTTCCTGTAGATAAGAGAGGTGAAATCTATTGCTTAAAATCAGAAGACTCGTAAGTGGTGGAGCCAGGCTGCGAACTGGGAACCTGTGGTGTCTGGATCCGGAGTTGGACACAAAGGAAAATCCAATGAAGAACTCTGGATCTAAGAAGGTAATACACATTTAAGTGAAATTCTTAGGTCTCCACTAATAGGGAAGTCATCAGGAGTTTGTGCCTGTATCCTCTCTGTCCTTGGGACATGGACGGTGACTGTGAGGAGGGAGATGGACAGCACACTGTCCTGGAGCTCAACTTGGAGATGCTGCTCCATGGAAAAGCGGGAGAGGGGAAAGAGACACTGACTGGGCATTTTGAGCAGCACTGAAGAGCTTGAGGTTGCAAAGACTGAATTTGGGGAGGCTCAGTTAGAGGCTGAAGTGACTGTCTCTAGGGACAGTGGGCTGTTGGAGGGTTTGCCATGGGAGATGGAGAGGCTGCCAAGGAAAGCAAGACACAGAGAGGGAATGTAGCTGGAATGGCGGCTTCTTCGTTTCCACCCTGAAATCAGCATTCGGTTCGCAGAGTTTTAGAGTGAAGAGTTTAATAGGCGGTGACCTCAGAGAAATCACTGATAAGAGAGATGGGGGGTAGGGCCAGAGACTGGCTAAGAGTGCTGGCTGCTCTTCCAGAGGACCCAAACTCAGTTTCCTGTATTCGTGGCAGGTGCCTGTAATTTCGGCTTCAACAGGATCCATCACTTTTTTCGGGATTCTGTGCACATGGGAGCATGCATGAATGCATGAGCATGCACATGCGCGTGCACACACACTTAAGAGTGGAAAGAGTGAGATGGGAGGCAGAGAAACCAAGCGAGAGTGTGTGTCCAAGACGTTTGTAGCCAAGTGCTCCCGGAGCACTGGGGGAGCCGGTGTGGACACACTCCTTAGAGTCATCCCCCGCTGGAGAGGGACCGCTGTCACCACTGTGACCTACTTCTCTCTGGTGTTGGTTCAGACTGCAGGTCAGCAGGAGTCACTGGTTGATGACATCAGCCCACATGGATGCAGGCAGAGTGGACTCTGGAGGCCACAGAGGTACTTTAGGTGGAGAGATGGTGCCCGTGGGAGTCTGATACACCAGGGAAGCTTTACTGAGTGAGTGTCCTTCTGAAAAACTCGATAGGAGGTATTGGCACATGGCTTAAAATGTGAGAACAAGAGCATACACTGAAAAGTGATTCTCCTTTTCCTCCCTCCTTCTCTGTCTGCTACCATTGTAACTTCTCACATATCCCGTCAAAGCTGGTGCAATAGGGTGTGTGTGTGTGTGTGTGTGTGTGTGTGTGTGTGTGTGTGTCTGTGTCTGTGTTTTACATGGATAGGTATTAAAGGTACAGATATTTAGTATATTATTAAAGATATGTGTACTGTCTGATTTTGTGTGTCAACTTGACACAAGCTAGAGTCATCAGAGGAAGGAGCCTCAGTTGAGGAAATGCCTCTATGAGATCCGGCTGTAAGGCATTTTCTCTTTTAGTGATCAATGGGGAAGGGCCCAGCCCATGGTGGGTGGTGCCATCCCTGGGCTGGTGGTCCTGGGTTCCATAAGAAAGCAGGCTGAGCAAGCCAGGGGAAGCAAGGCAATAAGCAGCTCCTCTCCATGGCCTCTGCATCAACTCCTGCCTCCGGGACCCTGCCCTGTTTGAGTTCCTGACCTGACTTCCTTCAGTGATGAACAGAAATGCTAAAGCATAAGTCAAATAAACCCTTTCCTCCCTTGTAGACGAATTTCTAAAATGATTTTATTAAATAAAAAAACACGGAGCCAAATATAGGGGGGAAAGCCTTAGATCCGGGAAATAGGGAGAGCCACCAGGGGTTCCTTTACTCGGTTCTGCCTTCACAACCTCCAGTGTTGAGTTTCCCCAGAGCAGTGGGCACTTCTGTGGGCTTGGCCTCCAGCACGAGGCTGAAGAGTGAAAGTGGAGGAAGTTGAGCAGAGGAGGGTAGGGAGATCCCACTGGAGAGCTTCCTGAGCTGACAAGGTCCTGGGTACGGTCATACCAGGAAGTCACTGGCAGGGTGGAGCAGGGTTGAAGGTCGAGGAGGCAGAGGATCTCCACTGAACTGTGAGGTGCTGAGCTGATGGGGCTGCCCATCCCTGTACCACGTTAACTTGTGGACCTCCCTTAGAGAAACCCATCTCCCCTCAGATCTAACAGGGAGCAGGAGTAAGATGCTTCCTCGTCTCTCTTCCGGGAGTAACAGACTCTCCACACTTGAGCTCGCTGAAGAAGCTCATCCATCATGTGGCTGCCCCAGGGGACAGGAAATGATGTCTCCATGTTTTAGGATTGCATTTGTGGCAGAGAGACAGGCCGGGGGCTTTTTCTCAGCTCCTTAGCTCCAAGTAAGTATCAATTAGGCGGGTGGCTAACTCATTTTACCATCTTCAGTTTCCTGAGTCCTTCTGACACCGTCAACCCTGCTCTGGTAATGCACAGCTTCCGTGATAAAGCCAGAAGCTACAATAAATACAGGGGCTAATGTGGTGGATTGATTAGGACCTGTGCTCGGCAGTGGGCATCTGGGGTAAAATCAGACATAAGTTTTTTCTCTCAAAGACCCCCAAATGTAGGCACAAGCACCCCACAAAAGCTACAGCCGCTCCACAGTTTCCTCAGTCTCTTAGCCTCCTTTCTTTTTCCCATTTGTTTTTCTGTACACCAGTAAATGGGTGTCTCTCATCCCTAATTTTCAGGGCGCTCCTCCAGGAACCACCCCCCTCAGTAACCAGGGAAGTTTGTATCCCTTCGGACAGTCTCAAGTCATGTAGCCACCACTGCCTTCAGGGACTATGGGGGAAAAAACATTTCCCTCCTGGACAAGGTTTTGTTGATAAATAAAAAGAAAATGGATATGGTTTAGGTAACTGACAATCTCTAACAAACGCCCTAGATTTTTCTTTTGAAACTGTGTTTTTTATTGTGGTACAGCATCCATAACATAAATTTTACTCTTTTAACCATTTGACATGCGCAGTTAGTTCATTGGCGTTAAATATTTTCACATCACTGCATCACTGCCACCCCCGTCGGCTTCCAGAGCCTCGAATGGTAACTCTGTACCTATTAAACAGCAGCACCCCACTCCTCGTCCTCACAGACACTATTCATTTCTGTTTCTGTCCCTGTGAATTTAGTGCCTTCTGCCAGGAGACCTGTGTCTACCTCACTTTGCCTCTCCTAGAGTTTTCTAGTTTCACTCCCGATGAAGTCCGCATCAAACTCCATTCCTTTCTATAGCAGAATTACATTCTGTTACATGGACAAAAAAACAAAAAACAAAAAAAACATTATTCGTCGGTTGCTGAACATTTTGGTTGTTTCCAGTTTTGGGTTATTGTACACAGGCTGCTAGGAATATTAATGTGTAAGTATCTAGGCTTCTGTTTTAATCTGTTTGGGAGACGAGTGTACACTATGGGCTAGAGTTAATAAGATTGCGTGATAATTTTATTTTTTAACTATTGAGTAGCTGCTAAGTGCGCTTTACGTTTTGTGTTCTATCTAGTGTTTACAGGCATGCTTTAATATACCACTGAAGCTCTGGTGTCCAGGGGCTGTCTTCTTGGGACCCCATGCTGCAGTTAGTATGACAAAAATCACTCCCATTTTAGAAATGTGAAAGACAAATAGAGGCTGAGGCAGCAGCATCATATCCCAGCCTTCTCTTGGTAATGAGATCTCTGCTAATTCAACTCCTGGCTCTGAC